CCGACCGCACCTCTGGCAAGAAGTTCCTCATCGACACAGGTTCATCGGTAAGCCTCATCCCTCCCTCACTACAAGACAAGTCAAAGCAACCCTCTTATGACCTGTTCGCTGCCAACGGTACCCCCATCGCCTCCTACGGCGTACTCACCCTCGCTTTAGACCTCGGTCTGCCCAAGACTCTGCGTTGGTTATTCGTGATAGCAGACGTGTCTCAACCCATCCTTGGTTTCGACTTCCTCACCTTCCACAAGCTCGGCGTCAAACCAAGTCATCTATGCCTCATCCATGAGCCTACAGCATGCAAGATCCAGGGTTCTCGTGCCAGACACACCGACACTATCACCTGTCTTGCGCCTTCCAACGAGTTCTCCTCCCTACTCAACGAATTCAAGGAGCTTTTCTCACCCCGAGTCTCCCTACCCCCACCACCTACGTCGGGAATTTTCCACCACATCGAAACCAAAGGACCACCAGTCTTTTCACGCCCTCGCCGCCTGCGCCCTGAGCTCCTGTACACAGCCAAAGTAGAATTCAACAAACTACTGCAAGATGGCATCATTCGCCCTTCAAGGAGTCCCTGGGCATCGCCTCTTCACATGGTTCCTCAGCAAACGCCCGGCGAGTGGAGGGTGTGTGGCGACTACAGAGCCCTGAATTTCGTCACCAAACCTGACAGGTACCCTATTCCGCATGTCCAGGACTTTCACCACAAACTTCATGGCAAGACTATCTTCTCGAAGATCGACTTGGAGCGTGCCTTCCACCAGATCCCAGTAGCACCGGCAGATACCCAGAAGACAGCCATCACCACTCCGTTTGGACTCTTTGAGTACACTTTCATGAGTTTTGGCTTACGCAATGCAGCACAGACTTTCCAGAGGTACATGGACCATATGCTTCGCGACCTCGACTTTGTCACTGTCTACATTGACGACATCCTCGTCGCATCTTCGACGCCTGCCGAGCACCGCCACCACCTACAACTCCTTCTCCAACGCCTGCAGAACAACAACATGAAAGTTCATCCTGCTAAGTGCGTCTTTGGAACCTCGGCCATCGATTTCCTCGGTCACAGAGTCTCGCCCAGTGGCATACAACCCCTACCACAGAAGATAACCGCGATTAGGGAGTTTCCCAAACCTGAAACTGTGAAGAAACTCCGAGAATTCCTGGGTTTAGTCAACTACTACCACCGCTTCATTGACAAAGCTGCCACCGTCCTAGCCCCCCTACACGACCTTCTCAAGGGACGCCCAAAGAAGTCTCACAAGCCTCTCGTGTGGACTCAAGAGGCTGCCACGGCGTTCACAACTGTCAAACAGCACATTACACGCCTCACCCTCCTGGCCCACCCCGCACCTAACGCCCGGACCACTCTCACAACAGACGCTTCTTCTACTGCAGTGGGCGCCGTCTTACAGCAGGAGATCAACGGAATTCTCATGCCCGTTGCTTTCTTCTCACAACGGCTTCAACCACCACACCTCAAGTACAGCGCCTTTGATCGAGAACTCCTGGCCATATACCTGGCTGTCAAACATTTCCAGCACTTCCTCGAGGCCCGTCAGTTCACCATCTTCACTGATCACAAGCCCCTCGTCCACGCCTTCGCTTCAGCTTCCCAGTCACATACACCTCGTGTCCTGCGCCACTTGGCTTACATCTCAGAGTTCTCCAGCGACGTCCAACACATTAAAGGCAGCCACAACGAGATCGCCGACGCCCTCTCTCGTTGTGTATCCAACATTCTTCCCTCATCTCCACCCATTGACTATGGGCAGCTAGCCGCGGCTCAAGAGAAAGACGAAGACCTGGCAAAATACAAGACATCCCCCTCAAGCCTCACACTCCAAGAACTCCCTGTTCCTGGCACAAAGACAAAATTGTGGTGCGACATATCCTGTGGGCATCCTAGACCGTTCGTGCCTCATGTCCACCGCCGCACTGTGTTCGACGGCATCCATGGTCTCAGCCACCCGGGTGTGCGGGCCTCCCAGCGCCTCCTCACGCAACGTGTCGTCTGGCCCGGCATCAAGTCCGATACTAAGAAATGGGCTGCCCAGTGCCTGGCCTGCCAATCCTCCAAAGTACATCGTCACATACGGGCCCCCTTACATACTTTCCCTATTCCCAAAGGACGTTTTCAAGTAGTACACCTCGACATCGTGGGACCTCTTCCATCATCCTACGGCAGCACCTACATCTTCACCTGCATCGACCGTTTCACCAGGTGGACAGAAGCAATTCCCATGCCCAATGCTACAGCAGAGACTACTGCCCGCGCCTTCATGTCCGGTTGGGTTTCCCGTTTCGGCCCCCCCGCAACCGTAATCACTGACCGAGGAGTCCAGTTTGAGTCACAACTCTGGCAGCACCTCCTACAGTTCCTCGGCACGTCTAGACAACGCACTACAGCATACCACCCTCAAGCCAACGGCATGGTAGAGCGTTTTCACCGGCAGCTAAAAGACGCACTCAAGGCACAGCACGACCCTTACAGCTGGACTGACGCGCTTCCCTTAGTGCTCCTCGGCATCCGTGCGTCACACAAGGAGGATATGGACTGTAGCCCAGCAGATCTTACACTAGGCGAGCCCCTTCGGCTACCTGGGGATTTCTCACTCCCTCCTAACCCTCACCAAACCACTCCAGCCGGTCGTCACGATTTACTCCAAAAGCTACGACAAGCAGTTTCTGCATTCAGAGCTACTACTCCACGCCAGCCTCCTCGGCGCCCTGAATACATCCCTCCTGCACTACTCACAGCCGAGTATGTTTTCGTCAGGCGTGATGCTCATCGCAACCCATTACAACGTCCCTACGATGGACCTTTCCAGGTGGTTACCCGTTCAGCAAAGTTCCTGACGATTATCCGGAATGGCAGACATGACACCGTCAGCATAGACCGAGTCAAACCGGCCACCTTACCCTGTGGGCCCCCAGTCCAGCAACACCATCAACAAACTACGCCTGCACCAGTCTACCCGCAGTTACCACCGGCAGCAACACCACGCCCACGACATTTCTGGGCACCCTCTTTTCACCCTCAAGTAAACCCTGTTCCTGCTGTAGAACCTCCTCCTGACATAGAACCTGCACCTATCATAGAACCTGTACCTATCATAGACCCTCCTCCTGTCATAGAACCTGAACCTGTATTAGACCTCCCTCCTAACATAGAACCTGCTCCTGCCATGGACCCTCCTCCTGACATACAACCTGCACCTATCGTAGAACCTGCTCCTGCCATGGACCCTCCTCCTGACGCAGCCCCTGCAGCAGCAGGAGCACAACAACCACTGCTTGTACAACCTCCTCTAATCCCAAACCCTCTTTCTCCTCCTAATTCTCCCACAGGTTTTGTGTCACTGGAGGGAGTTGTTACACGTAGCGGCCGAGTCGTACATACACCTGCCCGGTATGTGTTATGTGTGAGACACAACCCAGACAACATCCAGCCTCCCGCTGCGCTGGGAGGGGAGGGGGAGTATTGTAGTGGCTACTCTCCCCTACAACTTCCAACTGAGCTCCGGCCGCACTCCGACCAGCCAATCAGCGTACAGCCAGCTACGCCGAGAGACTAGGTCTATGCAGAGGACGTAGGGGTACGATCGCCGACCTAGTCTCGACCATCAACCTCCAGTTCAGGATCAGAGCGTTTCACACCTTACGCTGGAGCCGCTGTGATTGGTCACCTCGCTACGCGCACCCCAGATCCTGATCCTGGTAAATTGTATAAATACGGCCACGCCTGCCCAGGGAGGACATCCTACACTCAATTACTGGACCAGCAACATCTCTCTCAGCTCCTCACCTAGTCACTCCTAAGCACTGCGCTGTACAACAATATATATACAGGAAGCGCATCGTGAGTTTCTATCCAACCTCATTCCTGAGTGAAGGTATCTACATGTACGTACGTTTGTGTGCCCATACAAAGAGATAATAGACAACTAAAGAGAATTGACAACTGGCCACATACAGTACGCTACAATATCAACGCAGCACACCCGAGGCGGGTACATGGCGCGCCTTAAAACAAAGGCTGAATGTTCATGGCGGGGGTGTATCAACTTCACTTAAAACTGTAATGAGGGATCCTCCTCTCACACATTGCACTATTTGAACACAGACATAAGATTCTCTGATCACTGTACCTGTCGTGGGTATATGTCACGTGAGGATACGAGGTGTACTAAGTTCATACCGACGCATACAAGATTATTTCCTTTCAAGTATAGTTTCTGGGTCACTTCCAACACCTCACATAGTTCTGATACATTTATCCTTTTTCCAGATCATTGTTCTCATGTATTTTCATATGATATCTGTGGAAGTTATGTTCGCTACACGTTCACAGACGTAAATAGTATGACCTTCAAACCCTGATCCACACATACTGTAGTCCTACAGTACACTAGTCCGGCTCAACTGGACTTTAACATTCATCTTATGGATACCCTGAGTTCTCCTTAATGCTATGAATACATACAATTAATATGATATAACTGTACCTGGGTACAATACAACACATGGTCTAGTAACATTGAGTAGGTGAGTTATCCTTTAACAGTGTTTCCCGTTTTCTGAGATTTTACAAGAGCGGTGGATTTGAATGTTATATAGCGTAATGAATTAAATGGGGTTTTTAGGAATGACAATGATGTGCGCAGTACATTATGTCTCATGAGTTGAAGAATCTGGTCACCCTAAGGTCAAGGTTCATCATTCAGGAGTCTTTTTTTTCCGTTCGTGTCCTTGACGGACGCAAAAAAAAAAAAAAATGACAGTGACAATTATGATTTACGTATTTAGGACACGGGGTGACGTTAATATTTCTGCCTGTTCTTGCATGTGGGCGGTGGGGAGGGGGGAGTGGAAGGGGCTGGGTAGAGGGAAAGTGTGTTGGGGCTGGGAAGAGGGAGAGTGTGTTGGGGCTGGGTAGAGGGAGAGTGTGTTGGGACTGGGTAGAGGGAGAGTGTGTAGAGGCTGGGTAGAGGGGGAGAGTGCTGGGGCTGGGTAAAGAGAGAGTGTGTTGGGGCCCCAACACCTTCACCTCACTCCTAACACCCAGCCCCAACACTCTCCCTCTACCCAGCCCCAACACATTCTCCCTCTACCCAACCCCAACACACTGGGTAGTGGGAGAGTGTGTTGGGGCTGGGTGTTAGGAGTGAGGTGAAGGCTTTATCAGTGTGGTGTTGGCCTCAGGCCTTCCACACCATCCAGTCAACAGTCAGCCGCCACCCAGCATCTGAGGTGCCGCAGTCACCGCACACCACAAGTAGGTGCACCATACTGTAGTATGGCTGTGTGGTGCAATGATAAAATATGTGTTTTAAATTATCCGAGGAAATTTTATAGTGAAGGGAGGCAATTGAGTGATCTTTTAGTTACGTAAAATACTTAGAGATTTCTTGGTATTGAAAGGAACGTAACATGCTGGAGATAAAGTGGTTTGTGGAACGTGAATAAATTGTCAATTACTGGACTTATGCAAAATAAAGATTACTGTTTCAAAGTGATAACCCTTGCCCTATTAGTGGTTGTGTATACGAACTATAGATCGTGGTGTATACTAGACATTCAATTCAATTTCAATTTCAATTGTTTATTCCTTGATAGAGGAAGCGGGATCCTAGTGCTGTCACTAGGTACTCCTGTACAATGACACCAGAAGCATCTGGCAAGTGTGAAAAGTATATACAGTATAAATATTATAAAGGGGCTTACTAAAGCCTAAGGAAGGAAGGATGTTCCTTTAACACATAATGCACTAGACATTCTTGTTGTGTTTGGTGTAAGGGTTGGTGGAACTTCACAGATATGATGCATGTGTCACGGCTGTTTGGCTACTTCACCACTATTCACCAAGTTACTTGCATACACTGCTGGTAGTTTTCCAATACTTATAAATGTTTCCTTATTCTTTGAAAGTGAAATTGTTCCAAAAGCATGAATGCACATTAGGGACTGTACTGTATGTACTGTATACAGGAGAGAGAGAGAGAGAGAGAGAGAGAGACGTAAAATTGCATAACAGAAACATCCCATTTTTTCTTACAAAAATATTTTTCATGGGTTTTTTGTTTAATTCAATTAGTAGTCATGCTTTTTTTTTTGGCCGTAAAATTATTGAAATGTACTTTACCGTAACGTAACCTTACCTAACCTAACTTTACTTAACCTAATCTTTACCTAACCTGACCTAACCTAACCTAACTTTACTTCACCTAATCTGTACCTAACCTAACCTAACCTTTACCTAACCGGTAATTTTTCATGACTAACCTGCGGGCGAAATTGAGCAAAAACGAATATATAAAAGCCGGATTTTTACTGTTTTTTTTTTCTTTTTTATAGTGGACACTGTAGGAAGTGATGAAAAAATTTGTTTTTGGTCTGAAAACACAGGGATTCCCACAGCATGGACAGTCTCTATTTAAAGGAACAATGCCGTGGTCTTTGAACAATCGAAGGGTCTGGTTGTCTTAATCCCTAAATTCGCAAATTACGTCCATATAAGATTGGCAACAGCCTTCACGCTTCATGCTGAAAATGAAACTGCCACAAGCCCGGGGAAAAGCGCTGCAGCAGAGCTTGGCCTCATTACCGGTGGGAAGACAAATTAATGCGCGTCTAGGCGCCTGGTAATTATCTACAAAATGAAACATTTGCACAAGAAAAGATTACTATATCAGAACTCACTGATGAAAATCAAGTAAGAAAATAAACAGTAATACAAATAACTCATTTGCAGGTTAGTCCTATATATTAACCACCTAACCTAACCTAAACTAACCAAACCTTAACATGCCTTACCTAACCTTACTTAACCTAACCTTAACATGCCTTATCTAACCTAACCTAAATTTAAAATGCATAAAGGTTATGTGCATAATAGTGGCATCCTAAGTTACATTTATATATCAACAGATTTATAGATATGTTGGAGAAGTGATTATAAAAAGTTTGTTATCTCTGCAAATAAGAACATAAGAATGGAGGAAACTGCAGCGGGCCTATTGGCCCATACTGGGCAGTCCCGTTTACACCCAACCCCTATTGCTCATATAAGCATCCAACCTATGTTTGAAGCTATTCAGCGTATTCGAGTTAATGATGATATTTGGTAACTTGTTCCATTCATCCACAACTCTGTTTCCAAACCAGTGTTTACCTATTTCACGCCTAAATCTAAATTTGTCTAATTTAAATCCATTGTTATGAGTTCGCTCCTGGTTGGATAGTTTGAGTACCTTTGTAATGTCCCCTTTGTTTAGCCCTGATTTCCACTTATACACCTCTATCAGGTCGCCCCTCGCTCTACGTCTCTCGAGGGAGTGCAAATTAAGATAGCTTTAACCTGTCCCTATACTCAAGGTTCCTAATGCCCGGGATTAGTCTTGTCATTCTCCTCTGAATTATTTCCAATGATTCTATATCCATCCTGTAATACGGTGACCAGAACTGAACTGCGTAATCCAGGTGTGGTCTCACAAGCGCAAGATACAGCTTTAGGATGACCTCGCTAGTCTTGTAACTAACACTCCTTTGTATGAACCCAAGTACTTTATTAGCCTTGTTACGAGCAAAAACACATTGTTTACTTGGCGTAAGGTTCCTACTTATCATTACTCCTAAATCTCTCTCGCAGTCGGATTTCTCTATGGCATCGTTGTTCATCTGGTTTCCCTGTTTACATCTCCTATACTGAGTACTTTACATTTGTCCACGTTGAATTTCATCTGCCATTTTTCAGACCATTCGAAAAATTTGTTTAGATCTTCCTGTAGTTTTGCAGAGTCCTCGTCAGATTTAATAACAAGTCCTAATTTAGTGTCATCAGCAAATTTACTTATGTTGCTGTCTATGCCGATATCTATGTCGTTTATGTATATAATAAATAATAATGGTCCAAGTACTGAGCCTTGGGGAACTCCACTTGTGACGTTGCTCCAATGGGACTTAGTGCCGTTAATGCTCACTCGCTGTTTCCTGTCCTGTAACCACGCCCTAATCCATTTAAGGATGTTACCTTTGATGCCATGTGCTTCTACCTTTCTAATTAGTCTTTCGTGGGGGACTCTGTCGAAGGCTTTGCTAAAGTCGAGATATACCACATCATAATTGTGCCCCTCGTCCACCGATTTGAAAACTGATGAAAAGAATGTTAATAGATTAGTTAGACAAGAACGTCCGCTTGTGAAGCCATGCTGGGAATCATTGATCAATCGGTGCTTCTCCAGGTGATTTCGAATAGAGTTTGAAATGATTGCTTCCAGTAATTTGCCTACTATTGATGTTAGACTGATTGGGCGGTAGTTAGAGGATAGTGATCTATCCCCCTTCTTGAAAATCGGTATTACATTCGCTATCCTCCAGGATTCTGGTACTACACCTGTTTTTAAGGACATGTTAAACAACTTTGCTGAGGGCATACTAAGCTCTTCCTTACATTCCTTTAATACTCTGGCAAATATCTCATCGGGACCAGGTGACTTATAAGGCTTTAGTTTGTCTATTTGCTTACTAACATCGTTATTAGTCACTACTATCTCGCTTAATTTGTTTTCTTCACTATCTCTGAATAGAGTCGGTGCCTCAGGTATCATGTTTAAATTTTCAGTGGTGAAAACTGTTGAAAAATATTTATTCAAATTATTGCTCATTTCTCCGTCTTTATCAGTGAGCTCGCCGGTATCTGACCGTATTAGTCCAATCTTTTCTCGTGTTTTAGTTTGATACATTTGGTAGAATCCTTTGGGGTTTGTCTTCGCCTCCCTTGCTATCCTTACCTCATTATTCCTCTTGGCTTTCCTTATCTCGGTTTTAACCCTACTCGCCAATATCTTATAATAATCCTGGAGGTAAATTTCGCCATGCTTTATCCTTCTACCTATAGCCTTCCTTTGGCCAATGATGTTCTTTAAATAATTATTTATCCATTTAGGGTCATTGTTGTCTGATCTAAGTTTTTTGTATGGTATGTTCTGCCTTTGTGCATTAAGTAACTCATTATTTAAATTGTCGTGGAACTCGGCAATCTCAGATCTCGTTATCAGGTCGGAGTCGTTTGTCAGGTTCACGGCCAAGCGCGACACCCCCTCTCTCAGCTGCCTCTTTAAACTGTCAAAGTTTGCCCTTCTGAAATATGGTACTTCAGTGGAATTTTCCTTACGTCTGCCTTGAAAATCTAACTGGAATCTAATTTCTTTGTGATCGCTGTTTGCAAGTTCGTTCCCTACCTCGACATTGCTAATGAGGTTTTCTCTGTTCGACAGAGCTAAATCGAGTATATTATTCCCCCGTGTGGGTTCGGTTATATGTTGACTTAGGAAACAGTCCTGGATCGTCTCGAGAAAATCCTCTGATTCTGAGTTACCCATAAGGTCAGTCCAATCTATTTGGCCAAGGTTAAAGTCGCCTACTATACCGACTTTGTTGTGTATGGAAGCCCTGCGCATTTCATCCCAGATAAGTCGCTCATTGACTCTATCAAGATTGGGAGGTCTATATATTACTCCTGTGATTATTTTTTCCCTCCCGTCGCTTAATTCTATCCAAATTGTTTCTGTATTCCGCTCAGTTTTTATTTCCTTATTTATTTCACACTTCAGATTATCCCTAACATAGATTGCTACTCCGCCTCCTTTCCTGGTCAGCCTATCGGAATGGAACAATTTGTAACCCGCAATTTGGAATTCGACCGGCAACTCACGTGAGTCTAGGTTGACCCATGTTTCGGTGAATGCTATTATATCGATTTTTTCGGTACATACCAAGGCCCTAATATCATCCATTTTGTTTCTCATACTTCTACTGTTCGCGTAGTAGACATTTAAGTTAGTCGTGTTCTGAGTCCTCCCTTTACTGCGTTTAGTTTTAAACTCCCTGTTTAATTTAGTTTTGTCATCATTCCTAACACTATTTCCCTGTAATCTTTTACTCTGTTTACCCGCTCCCACTGCAGTTTCCCCCACCCCCGTGCCCATATGTTCCCCTAGCAGTTTAAAGACTTCGATATCCTTTGAACTGCCCCCTCTAGAGACCCAGCCAGGGTTGCCACCCCATCCCGAGACAGGTGCACCCCATCCCTAGCATAAAGGTTCCTTCTGCCGTAGAAGTTGTCCCAGTTGTCAATGAATGGGTCGTTGACACTAACCGCCCTTGACAACCATTCGCCGCCAACTCTCCTTCTAGAGAAATTAATTGTTTGTAATGTGCATTTTCTCTTTCTTAGGTTAGGTTTGGTAGGGTAACATTAGGTTTGGTAGGGTAACA